CCAAATCCATCACCTTCAGCATGCTGATGTTTTGCAGTGTGTGGTTGTCCTTTATCCCTGCCTACATGAGCACCAAGGGGAAATATGTAGTGGCTGTTGAGATCTTCTCCATCTTGGCCTCCAGTGGTGGGCTCCTGGCTTGTGTCTTTTTTCCCAAATGCTACATTATCATTGTGAGGCCTGATCTGAATAAAAGGGAGCACTTAATAAAAAGAGTAAATTAACCAATATGGTCAACAATTTTTACTTCTTTTTTTCCCCTTCCACTAGTGGAACTACCTTTAGGCAATTTGAAAATAATCTTGTCCAACAGTAATCTGAGATTTACTTTAAAAGGCACATTATGAGTATTTTAATTATTTCTTAATAGAAAGGATTAGAAATTAAGTGGTGTAAATATATTTTTTAGTTGGTTCAGTGGTAGATGAGGAAATGATGAATGTGAGATATTCACTCTGTGAGTTAAAGTAGGTACAATAAGTACATTGTGTTTCAAAACAAGCTGGTGACTATTATGGTTGTTCTAATGACATGATTAGCACAATTGAAGTAACCCTGGTTGAAATCATACAGTTCATTCTTTAGGGTTTGTACTTAGTTGAGCATACTTTAAAAACAAAATGTATTCACAGCACCTACAGGCAAAAACCCAAGATCAAGAAATACAAATAAAATTGTTAAGAAAGTTATATGCCATCACAGGCCATCTGCATTCATCTGTTTGCATCATGCTTGACTTTAAATCCCCCCCCCCTTTTTTTTCACCCTGCAGCTTTTCTTGCAACAAGTCTTTCTGTTAATATTCAGGTATGATTCTCACATAGAGAATTAATCTCTTCCCTTGAAGCATTTCTGGCTTTGTGTGGTTTCCGTAGCTGGCCCACCATCAATAACCTCAATAGACCAGCTTTTAGATGGAATTGTCATCCTGGTGTGCTGTTGTGTCACTCACTTCAGATCCAGTTTCTGCATCTCCTTCTTACTCAGATTTGCTGACTGCATTTCACAGAACCCTATATTCCACACATCAGAAATAGATTTTCTGCTGAGAAATGTTGCACTATTGGTTTGGTCAATTTTGAAACACATAGTTTCAATTACCATTGAAAGTAAGACTCTCAAAAATTATTAGATTAAAATTTGAAGTGGCTTAATAGAACCAGCACTAGCAGGAGTTGGAACATTTAGTACATTTGTAGTATTCATATTTTCTAAGGAAGTTCCATGCCATGATAAACATCCCAGTGTCACATTTCTCTTGTATGTCCTATAGCTTTATTTCAGTTGAAAGAAGAGAGAGACAGGAAGAATGAAGAAGTTCTGTATCATAACGATCAGTGAAAGAACAGATGTCTCTATTTTTACCCTAACCAAAAGGCCTTCAGTTGTATTTGGCTATAGTTATATTTGGCTATAAAATAAGTCTCAATAAAGTAGAATGCTGGAATTACCAAATATCCTAATGTTTAAACATTAGTCCAATCCTTTCACATTGATGAGAGTTTGTGTGTATTTTGTGTGTGTGTGTGTGCCTATGTATGAGTGTATATGAATTTATGTGTGAGTATTTCTCTGAGATACAGCATGTTTCTTAAGCTGGAAACTCTTCTTAACAAAAGGTATAGGAGCTTCCTGATAATTTCTCAGTTGTTACATTGGGAACATAGACATCGCAGGATAATAATACCTGCCAAATGGTGGTCACCTTTCTCACCTCCCCTATTGGAAGAGCTTTTTCCCAGACTGATCAGCTTGCATTATGTGAACAGCCGCTTGCAAGCTTCTCCATCATCAGTGAAAAGAGCCACCACTTGTACATTGAATACTCCTCTGATGTACTTGAATACTCTCTAGCAGAGCCCCCTTATTTATTCAACCTATATGCTGAATATATATAGGGAAGCTAGATTGGAAGAAGATGAGTGTGGTTTTAAAACTGAAGGAAAAAACATGAATAATCTGCACTATGCTGATGATACTATTATGACAGCCCAAAATGCAAAGGATCTTCAAACTCTAGTATTCAAAGTCAAGGAGCACAGTGAAAAAATGGGACCATGGAATCAAAACTCAGGACACAAATGCAAAATAATCAAGGCTTCACTGCAGTGTGTATTAGACAGTATAGTAAATGAAGTTCATTAGAAGGCAGTTTTAAACAGGCTGAAGAAAGCACTCTCATATTACACAGTCATTACATCAATGTCTAATGGTAGCCACTAAGTAGGATGGTTTTCAATGGGGTTAGAAAAACTCTTAGAGGAAAAGACCTTCAAGGGCAAGGGCTCTTGAAGGCTCCATGACACTACTGGTCTAGGGGCAGCATGCCTTCAAATATCAGGGGCAGGGCCAAAACGTCTCCATGTCCTGACTGAAAACCACACAGAAGCATCTGATTGCTCGCTCTGAGAATCAAAATGGCACTCAGCTTGACCCAGTAATGCTGCACTTTTTTCTTATATAGCATTTGTGGCCTCAGACATGCAGAAGTTTGACTTTATTGAAGACATGTTGTGCATGCATCGTTTTATTATACTACATTCCCGTGCTTATTTGAAGCGGCTTCTTTGTTTGCTTGATTGTTTCTTTCTGGAACCAGAGAATAATATCATGCAATTCATGTATGTTAGGCAAGTTAAAGAAATGTGTCCCCAAATAGAGGATAAAATATGTATGTTGTGGGGTTACTTGGAAGTCATACATAGCAATTTCAAAGTTTAAGTTTGTGTGACTTGGAAGAAAGTCAATTAATTAATTAATTAATTACTATAGCCTTCAGAAACAAGCACTAGGTTTATGTTAATTTTCATTTACCAACCTGAAAATAATCTAAAGTTGAGCTCACTGTTGGTAACTTCAGGAACAGGGGCCATTATGTCTTTGCTGTTTCTTTATGCCCACTGGGACTGAGGGAAAGAGTATATCACCTATGGTATAATAAATGCAAACATACACCATTGTTTGACTTGTAATTATCATGTTAGCTTTTTTTCCCCCCCTTTTTCCTTGCACAGTTCCCTGGAGACTCTATGGCCACTGAAGTTCTGTAGATTAAAGGGTCAATTAAATATCCTCTGTGATCTTCAGGGCTAGGAATATTTAGGGACTGAAATTTTCTTCCTTGGTCTATATCCTTGGCAATTAATTCAAATGATGTTTCTGGATTCTATAATTTCTTGAAGAGAGGAACCCTTCTTAGGAGAAAGAAGATGGTTCCTTGAGGGAAATCTGGCCACAGGCATTTAGTTGCTTCTTCCCCAGTTCTGCCAGGAGAATAAGGGTGAGGGCATCTGCACAGGGAAGGAGCACCTAGAGGCTCTTCCCATGACTGTGTTTGAAATGGCCATGACTGCTCACAGCTAGTGTCTACAATGCTGTCTGTGCCATTCCCGATGCTTTGCATGCAATGCAATCCTCAGTGTTCAACCAAAGATCAAAGATGAACAGATGCACATAGAAACTTAACAGTTGTGGAAGGTACCACCAAAACCATTGGCATTCTACAACTTTTTGCCATAAAGAATAATCAATCTGTCTGGGAATTTGTAAGCAGAAGGCTACAGATTAGAGAAAGCTGTCTTAGACAGCTCTTTCTTTAGAAAGACATCATTTTGGTAATTCACTTCTAAATTTATCATAGCTTCTTATTATAATGTCCTCCTTCTCCAGTGATTTTTTTTTTTTTTTTTGGTCAACCATGAGCAGGTCTCATGAATATCTCTGATTATCCAAAGTACCTTGTGAAATTCCCTATATCAGGATAAAGATATAAAAAGGCTTTGCTGTTCTTTGTTAGTATTATGTATGTATGTATGTGTGTGTGTATTTATGTATGTTCAATTTATATAGCCACCCATCTCAGACAAATGACTCTAGGCAGCTAACAACAATAAAAACAGTCAACATTTAAAACAGTACAAAAAAATTAAATATAAATATAAATGCAGCCAAGAGATCTTAAAAAGCCGTTTGAATCAGCACAACCATGAAATGTGGCCCTTTACACACTCGGGGCCCTAGGCTTGGCCATAAAGCCAGGTCTTCAAGGCCTTCTGAAAAGACAAAAGAGTTGGGGCCATCCTAATCTCAGGATGGAGGATGTTCCAGAGGGCAGGCGCCACAGCAGAAAGGGCACATCTCCCAGTCCCTGCCAGCCTACATTCCTTGGCTGATGGGACCCGGAGCATGCCCAAGTTGCCAGACTGGATTGGATGGGTAGAAACAACTGGGAAAAGATGGTCCCTAAGGTAACCCGGCCCCAAGCCATGAAGGGCTTTAAAGGTGACAACAAGCACCTTGAATTGCACCTGGAAACACACTACCAACCAGTCCAGCTCCTGAAGCGGTGGTGTTACATGTGCTGAGTAGCCAATACTATTTACAACTCTGGCAGCTGCATTCTGTACCAGCTAAAGCTTCTGAATGCTCTTCAAGGGCATGTAGAGCGTGTTGCAAAAGTCCAAACAGGAGGTCATGAAGGCCTGAGTGACAGTGAGTAGAGCCTTCCGGTATAGGAATGGGCACAACTGACACACAACCCAAAGGTGTGCAAAGGCCCTCTTAGCCTTGGCTCCACCTGCTCTTCCAGCAGGAACTGTGAATCCAAGAGGACCCCCAGATTGCACACCAGGTCTGTCTGGGGCAGAGTCACCTCATCGAGAACCAAAGATGGAAGAACCTTAGTACTGGGAGGCCAAACACCCAAAGCCACTCGGTCTTGCTTGGGTTGAGCCGAAGCCCATTGTGCCCCATCTAGGCCCCTACAGCCTCCAGGCAGTGAGATAGGACATCCACAACATCACTCAGACATCCTGGGGAGGAGATATAAAGCTGGGTGTCATGAGCATACTGATGATATTTCACCCTGAACTGTCGGATCACCTCGCCCAGCAACCTTATGTAGATGTTAAATAAGAGGGGCAAGAGAACTGAGCCCTGTGGCACCCGTGGACTGGACCTCTCCCCTCCTACCAACACCGACTGGAACCAACCCTGGAGGATGGAGAACCAGCACAACATAGTGCCACCCAACCCCAACTCCTCAAGCCGGTCCAGAAGGACACCACGACTGATGGTATCGAAGACTGCCAAGAGGTCAAGAAGAGCAAGGATAGAAGCACTGCCCCTATCCCACTCCCACCAGAGGTCATCCAAGAGCATGATCAATGCTGCCTCAGTCCCATATCCTGGCCTGAACCCTGACTGAAAGAGGTCCAGTTAATTTGCTTCAGCCAGAGCCCTTTGAAGCTGCCGTGTGACCACTTTCTCAACAACCTTCCCTAAACAACGGAGGTTGGAGACTGGACAAAAACTATCCAGATTAGTTGGGTTGAGTGATGGCCCCTTGAGAAAGGGGTGTACCACTGCCTCCTTAAGAGCTGGCAGGACCACCCCCTCCCTCAAAGAGGAATTAACCACAACCCGTAATTAACCAATTACGTGTCCACTCCTGGACAGCCTTGACCAGTCACGGATCTAACACAGAAGTGGCCAAACTAACAGCTACAAGAAACCTGTACACTTTCTCAGGTTCAATGGGCTTGAACTCCTCCCAGAAAACCATGCAAGACTCAGTCCTCATAGCCCCCACTGGTCTTGCATCAAGGCTTGAATTCAATGCAGAGCAGATGTGAGCGACTTTACCTGACAGATGCTCACCATATTCCTCGCAATGGCCCTGAAGGTAGACCCCCAAATTACTCCCTCCAAGGAGGGTCTGGGTCACCCAGAACAGGGCTGCTGGGTAGCTATCTGCAGATGCAATAAGGCCGGATAAATAATTACCTTTCGCTGCCCTTACTATCACGAGGTAGGCTCTAATTGCAGGTCTAGCTTGTGTTCGATCGTCTTCACTCCCCATCTTCTACCAGTGGTGCTCTAGGCATCTCGTAGCCCTCTTAAGCTTCCTCAGCTCTTCCATATACCAAAGAGAGCTATGGGAGCCATGGGTACAGAGAGGCCACTCAGGTGTGATCCGATCCAAAGCTGTGGCTGCTCTCTCATTCCATGTGGCCACCAGGGCTTCAGTTGGACCATACAGCAGACTTTTGGAACAACCCCAAGCTCCCTCTGAAACCTAATTGGGTCCATCAGTTGCCTGGGCTGGGCTGATCTAATAGGCCCCGCCTCCCTGTGGAGGAGGGTGGTGCCAGAGAACTGGAGGCTCACCAGGAAGTGAGCTGACTATGACAAAGGAAAAACCAATACCTCCCCCAAATTCAGAACACTCTGCCACTGCTCCAACAGTAAAACCAGGTCAGGCAAATGACCACTATTATGCGTTGGACCCTGGATTACTTGGGATACACCCATGGCTGTCATGATGGCCATAAACTCCCTGGCTATCTCTGACCCTGCCCCCAAGGAAGGCAGGTTGAAATCCTCCAAGACCATAAGCCTGGGGAACTCTACCACCAACCTGGTTACAGAATCAAGGTACTCAGGCAGGGAGGTTGCTACGCAGCAGGGAGGCTGGTATAGTAATAATAGTCCCAACTGATCACCCTTAGAGCCCAGCTTAACAAATAGGGTCTCGCACCCAGCAATCTTAGGAGCAGCACCCCTGAATGCCTCCCAAGTATCTTGGATGACCACCACCATCCCACCATCCCTACCCTGGGATCTTGGCTGGTGCCACACCCAGAAACCAGCTGGGTACATCACAGAAAGGGGAACTCCCCCTTTGTTTCCCAGCCAGGTCTCTGTAATACATGCCAGGTCAGCTTTCTCCTCCATGATCAAATCATGGATGAAGGTGGCTTTATTACAAACCAACCTGGCATTCAGTAGCAGCAGCCGACAGCCCAGGGCCTTGAAAGTCTGCCAACCATGGCCTGGGAATGAGTTCGAGGAGCTGGAACACGCCATAGGAACAATATACCTCTGGCCCATTCCCCATGTGTGGCCTGCTCTTCGTATCCTGCCAAATTATATATATTATTATCTAACCATCAATGTATGGTTATGTTAGAAGAAGGAATAGAAGGAGAAAGAATATACCAGTGAAATCATTTTAGAATGTAATGAAGGATCTGTTGTAATGTTTTATTGCAACTTGAGTCTCATGGGCTTCCTAGCTGTTGTTAGTTTTGTTGCAGCTTTCCTAGCTAGGAAATTACCAGACACTTTCCAGGAAACCAAATCCATCAAAATCAGTATGCTGGTCTTTTACAGTGTCTGGTTGTGTTTTGCTCCTGCCTATGTGAGCAGCAAAGGAAAATATATGGTGGCCATGGAGATTTTTGCCATCTTGGCCTCCAGTGGGGGCCTACTGGGTTGTGACTTTTTCCCAAAATGCTATATCATTCTGCTGAAACCTGATCTGAATAAAAAAAAGCATCTGATGAAATGAATCAAGTGGCATTGTTCTATTGACTATTTTGCCTTCTAAAATATTCCATAACGTCAATATCTGCCACTACTATGAGATACTGTAAGGAAGACATTCTCCAATAACGTATTTAAAGAGTACTTTCATGTGGACATACTCCATGTATATGAGTCCTTTCAAGAGTATAAGAGTACAGCGATCAGGAGTAAAGTGACGATTGGAATGAGATAAGAGAAATAGGAGTATGGGGGAGAAATATTATTACTTTCTGCAGACTCAGATTTCTGGACCCATGACATGAAGCAGCCAAATGAGGTATAGGATCCAGAGTTCATTATGACAAAGAAAAGCAGAGTATCTGTACAAAGGATGTAAAGTTCTTTCAGGAAATAAACTAGATCACTTGCCTTACCACCTTCCCATTGTGGATGATTCTGGGTTCCTCAGTTATGCTGAAATAAGGTCATGCAATAAAGAAACAAATGATTGTTTTCCCCATATTTTCTACACTCCTTTTTGTAGCTGCTCAGATACAATCCTAATGTGTCCAGTCTTCAGCAACCCTCTTCAGATTGTATGTAATTCCTGGAAACCTTTGAGACAATCTCTGAGTCCTAAAGTTTGATGGAGCTATTTCAGGCACAGAGTCCACTCTCCTGCTCAGTGTAGGAATCCCAATTAATTATCCCAGAAAGTTGGCTCTCCTGCCTCCACTTGAAGTCATCCAGTAAAGACAAGCTGGTTTACATCTATGTAAAAGATTCTACTGTTATAACTAAAATCCATTATAAAGCTTCAACATTTGTTGTTTAATTGCATATTTCATGTCAAAGGAAGAGTGCAATTTTAAGAATAAAAAAGAGAGACCATAAAAAGCCATTTTTAAAGATATGTAGACATCATTGTAACTGCTGATTGCACTTCATGTGCAAAGAGAAAGATCTCAGAAATTATGGATCAGAGATGTTCTAGATTTAGGCAAAAAGAAAGAAGTTCAAATAAAAGAAAGAAACTGCTATCACACCCTTATACCAAAAACAGACTTTCCTTTCTAAACTCTAAAAGGCTGCTAGTAATATTACGATTGTTTATTATTTTGTTTATTATGAGATCAGAAAAATAAATATTTTAACCAGTGAATGGTTAGGGAATGTTAAACTGTAAAGTATGCTTGACCTGGAAAAATGGGATCAATTTATATTATTTGAAAATTGTGATGCTCTTTCAACCAAGATACCCTTTGCAAACCAGCATATGGCTTTATGTTGATTTTCATTTATCGAGTTAGATTTGAACTTAATGGAATTTGGCCTCATGGACCTCATTACAGCATTCTTTTTGCTCAGTGGGAATAAGACAAAGATAGCAGGAGTATAGTAAACACTATCATACAGGATTATTTGACTTAATTATCATCTTAATCAAGGCCCTTCCCCAGCTCCCTGAAGGCTCTGTGGGTATAGAAGATTCTATAAAAATTAAAGGATGTTTTATTTGAATATCCCCTGTGATCCTCAAAGCTGGAGATACAAGGACATTGTGCTCTGTCAACTCAGTGGACAAATGTTTATCCTCTACTGCCTTGGCTTGCAACTGATACTTACCCCCAAAATTTGAGGCTATTCTGTCATCTGTGGGGCAGATGGAAAATTGTTTTGGGAAAGGAAAAAAATCATTTGTGATTGTAGTGTTTTGGATACTGATAATATGTTTGCTCCCTAAGAATGTCTGCAAAGTTCATTTTACAAAATGCAGTAGCAGTGAGCCAAGCATTATTCTTCATAAATATCATCAACCAGGAGAACTCATTATTGGTGGCATAGTTTCTCAGTACATTGTTGTTTATGAGGAGGCCAAATTCACAAGACATCCCTTTCATGACATGTTCCCTGATTTCATGTAAGGAACTAAAACTTTCCAAGCCATAGCATGATTCTATTCTGATAAGAATTGGCAAAAATAGTACTAGGTTTTAGTTATTGCTGATGGGGTATGGAAAATATCTAGTTTCTACATCTATATATCCATATCTATATCATCTATATCTATATTGCAAAAAGGTGCCTCATCTACATCCAATAGTATTAAGGATTACAGTAGTTGTTGCTGTACTAATAGTTGTAATAATTGTTTAATTAAAAAAAATATGGACATGGAAGGAAGGAAGGAAGGAAGGAAGGAAGGAAGGAAGGAAGGAAGGAAGGAAGGAAG